TTGCCGATCATGAGATTTTGGGCACCTACTACAGTGTGGAAAGAGAACATCAGGATAAGGCCACATCAGGGGCTTCCAGACTTGCTCTCACACCAGAACAAACAGTTGTTCCTTCGCAAGACACAACCTTTTGAAACGGTTGAATGGAGACACCAAGATTCATATTTCCACTCCTTAGGAACTTTAAGAGATCAAGAGTCTGGCCATAGAATGTGTAGAATTACTTAGCCATGGCAATGGCCGAGAATGTGGACCAAGCGAAACATGTCCAGGAAGCACTGAGATACTTGGATCAGAAGGATGTTAAGAAGCTCCTGCGCGACCTCACTGAATCTGTCTTGCTCCGGCAACCAGAAAACCCGAAGTTCCATATGCTCGAGGAGCTATGGGAGAGCACGGGCAGATGTTGGACACCTTCGGCAGACAGAAGTGTTCTTTGTAGCTTTCTTCAACAGAAGTTTCCTTCTCCCCGCGAAGCCGTCTATGATTTGGTTCGACGAGCAGCTGCAACGGTAGGTGCCAGACGAGTTTCGTTCTTCTCAGCACCAAATGGCCGAGGGCGCCAGGTGGTTGGATGTGGAGAGGCTGAAAGGTTCTCTGGGATGGACTTCTTGTTGGTGGATAGCAGCGATCAGGAGCTGGTGATTGGGGAACCAGGCAGGGGAATTAGTTTTGTGTCCATTCTCAATCCAGCCGATGTGTAATCCAGTGAGCGTAAGTTGAACTCTGTGATTTTGTGATTTTCGTAGGTGATGCATCATTGCGGCCATGCCACAAGCTCAAATGTTTTGGGCGGATTCAGCTAAGCCTGAGCAAAAATTCATTCAATTGGATCTCTTTTAGTTTTCCACTCTGACTGTGGAGAATGGATGCATTGGCAGAAATTGTGCAGTGAACCCACCCATCTCCATCTCACCCTTGTCTTCGGATTCACATGAAGTCCATGAAACTAGGCCTTGACTTGGCCCTGGAGTCGGGGAGTGCAACAACAGAGGATGCCGTCCAGAGCCTAGAGGACCCAGATGCAGTCCAACAGAGATGGAATTTTTGAACAAAGGAGGAAGTCCTTCTGTTTCTTTTTGACATTTTTACTTTTAATAGAAATCTCTTGCTGTCAGTGATCTTCCCAATACTTTGACTTTAACTTTAGAGATAGCGGTGGATTGTCCGGGTGATGCTTGTTCTTTAGCAAAGCTGAAGCTCTGTCATCGCACCAATCAGGTCGCTTGTTTGATCAGAAGCTCCGAAGGCCATACCTGAAGTTGCCGTTTGTGCTTTTGTAAGAGCACCGTTCCGAAGAGTGGTAAGCTGAAACACAGCAAGTGAAGCAAATTGCCCCAAACTTTACCTGTTTGCAGCGGCTCCAGCAAGTTGAACATGACATCTTGGACTGGAAGACAGCATTTCAAGTTTCAGCTGTTCAAAATTGTGTGCCATGTTTCATCGATAGCAATCCAACAATCCAAGTTCAAGCAAGTTTGGCATCCTTTTTTGCCCCGCATTCGGGGGTAGGGGTCAACCAGGTCGCTTTCCGTGTTGCTAGATCAGCTTGACCTGCATTTGGCAGAGATTTTCCGCTAGCCGATCCTGCAATGACGTCAGAAGCTCGTTTGCATCAAGCTGGGAACATGCGTAACTGGTTGAGGTCCGTCAGGAACCAACTCGTGGGAACATGATCTTGGGACAGCCACAAGGATGGCAGGTTTGACTTTGAACAAGGCCTTGGGATCAAAGGCTTTAAGTCCAGACAATCATATTGTCATATAGTTCTTTGACAGTTCACTGTGGCAAGCACTGTGCGTGAATCCAATGGCCACCATGTGCGGATTCCAGATACCGGATATGATGTGATATAAATGAATTCTCCATACATTTGTTGCCCTTTCCAGCTCTGGGCCTATATCGGTTCTTCTTGTGTCAAAGTCATGCACGTGTTGGTCTGAATCAGCCCAGGTCCAGGAGAAATTGCTAGAGCACTTGCGAACCTGTTCCAAGGTGCTTGTAGTCGACCATGTTTGTTGCTGGAAGCAGATTTTAACGTGACTTCAGAGTGTTCTTGCTGTGGTTGTTCCTTTTATATCATAGCTTACAACATTTTGCAGGGCGCGCCGCCCGCGGACAAGAGAGAGAAGTCATTACCACAGGATGGACGCCTTTGGCACTTTGTTGGCTTTGTTCGTGAAAACTGAATAAACACAAGAAAGACATGTTTTTCCCGAAAGCATTGCGAAGGGTTCTTCCGGAAAATCCTTAGAACACTGACACTTCGACACGTACACTTACACACTGACACTTCCACCACACTTGCACTACAACATGAACGCTATACGTACCCCAGTGTAAGTGGAAGAGCGAAAGCATCCAAGTGCAAAGTTTGCAAGTGTGAAAGTATGCAAGTGTAAGTATGTCAGTATGTATGTGTAATGATGCAAGTGCAATGATGAGTATGCAAGCATGCAATGAGTAGGCAAGCATGTAATGAGTATGCAAGCATGCAATGAGTAGGCAAAGCATGTAAAAGCATGTAATGAGTATGCAAGCATGCAATGAGTAGGCAAGTGTGAGCATGGAAAACTAGCACGGGAGATGTCCTAATGAAAAAACATGTCCCCACTTTATAAATTCTCTCTTAAAGGCGGAGGGTGGGACGAACAGCGTCAACCGAAAGTGCAACCCTCTGCGGAGATCGTGCGTGTCCAGTGCGCGAAATGCAGGCGAGAGTGCGATTCGTCCGGTGCGCGCGCAACCCTCTGCGGAGATCGTGCGTGTCGAGTGCGCGAAACGCAGGCGAGAGTGCGATGCGCCGGATCCGCGCGCAACCCTCTGCGGAGATCGTGCGTGTCGAGTGCGCGCAATGCAGGCGAGAGTGCGATTCGTCCGGTGCGCGCGCAACCCTCTGCGTGTCGAGTGCGCGAAGTGCAGGCGAGAGTGCGATTCGTCCGGTGCGCGCGCAACCCTCTGCGGAGATCGTGTGTGTTGAGTGCGCGAAATGCAGGCGAGAGCGCGCTTTGTGAAATTACCGCGCAACCCTCTGCGGAGATCGTGCGTGTCGAGTGCGCGAAATGCAGGCGAGAGTGCGATTCGTCCGGTGCGCGCGCAACCCTCTGCGGAGATTGTGCATGTCGAGTGCGCGAAATGCAGGCGAGAGCGCGATTTGTGAAATTACCACGCAACCCTCTGCGGAGATCGTGTGTGTTGAGTGCGCGAAATGCAGGCGAGAGCGCGATTTGTGAAATTACCGCGCAACCCTCTGCGGAGATCGTGCGTGTCGAGTGCGCGAAATGCAGAGCGCGATTTGTGAAAGTACCGCGCAACCCTCTGCGGAGATGGTGCCTTTCTAGTACAACTTTAGTACGCGGAGCAATCTGTTGAGCTGGAAGCTGAGAACTGGCGACTTTGTAGTGCAACTTTAGTACGCGGAGTAGCCGGGGAGCTGGAAGATGAGAACTGGCGACTTGGTAGTGCAACGTTAGTACGCGGAGTAGCTCGGGAGTGGGAAGATGAGAACTGGCGACTCTGTAGTACAACGTTAGTACGCGGAGTAGCTGGGGAGTGGGAAGATGAGAACTGGCGACTCTGTAGTGCAACTTTAGTACGCGGACTAGCTGGGGAGCTGGAAGATGAGAACTGGCGACTTTGTAGTACAACGCGGAGCAATCTGTGGAGCTGGAAGCTGAGAACTGGCGACTTTGCAGTAGAACTTTAGTACGCGGAGTAGCTGTGGAGCTGGAAGCTGAGAACTGGCGAGTTTCTAGTACAACTTTAGCAGCGGAGCAAGCTGTGGAGCTGGAAGCTGAGAACTGGCGACTTTGTAGTACAACTTTAGTACGCGGAGTAGCTGGGGAGTGGGAAGATGAGAACTGGCGACTTGGTAGTACAACTTTAGTACGCGGAGTAGCTGGGGAGTGGGAAGATGAGAACTGGCGACTTGGTAGTACAACTTGAGTACGCGGAGTATCTAGGGAGCTGGAAGATGAGCGCTGGCGACTTTGTAGTACAACTGTAGTCCGCGGAGTAGCTGAGGAGCTGGAAGATGAGAACTGGCGACTTGGTAGTACAACTTTAGTACGCGGAGTATCTGGGGAGTGGCCAGATGAGAACTGGTGACTTGGTAGTACAACTTAGTACGCGGAGTATCTGGGGAGTGGCCAGATGAGAACTGGTGACTTGGTAGTACAATGACTTGGTAGTACAACTTTAGTACGCGGAGTATCCGGGGAGCTGCAAGATGAGAACTGGCGACTTGGTAGTACAACTTGAGTACGCGGAGTATCTGGGGAGTTGGAAGATGAGAACTGGCGACCTGGTAGTAGAACTTTAGTACGCGGAGCAATCTGTGGAGCTGGAAGATGAGAACTGGCGACTTTGTAGTACAACTTTAGTACGCTTCATGCCAGCTTGCTTTTTTAAGTGAGATTTTTTGTGGAGGCGTGCACGCTGCTTCTCTCCTTACGAGCAGCCCAAGTGCTCACGACGATGAGCTGGGCTGTCACCGCTTGGCCGCCGGTGGGGGGTTTGGGAGGCCTGCGCGCTAATTCGTTCACTATATGTACAGTGAAGACCTTCACCAGCAGCAGACATGGACATACACACACAGACAGGGACTCATACACACACACACATCACACACAGAGACCCACGCACTGCCTCAACTTACTCGGACACACACACAGACAGAGACTCACATACACACGGACATAGATACACACACACACAGAGACCCACACACTACCTCAACTCACTCGACTTAACACTTCACACTGCACACTTAACAGATAACTCGCACTCGGACTTCCTACGTGATGAAAATGCTTTCGGGCCACTCGTCGTCTAGTTGTTGAAGCACCAAGGAGGCAAACTTGTTTGGAAACTGCACGGGTCACATCCGCAGACACGTTCTTTAGGAGCTCGTGTCCTGGTCACAACGAGTCGACATGCTTTTGCGCTGCGCTCATTATACATTTTTTATCAGACATATGGTTTCTTATTGTGCCTTGGCAATGAATGCCTCGAGGCCCTTGGTTCTTGCAGCCTGGCGGTGCAAGCTGCTACGGGATGCTGCTGCAATGATGGTGGGCTTGGGCCTGGTGATTGCAGGCATGCAGGGCACAAAGGTGATGCAGGTGATGCAGTGTGGGAACTCGTGCTTGCCACATGACAGGTGGCTTTGGGAGGCCGTTGCACAGCATTGTGGGCTTGCTTTTTTTGGCCATCGGAATCAGGCGACGCCTGCAGTGACATGTGGTTTCATGCTCGCGCTGAATCGTTGGGGAGTGTAGCTGATTCAGGGGCCTTCCTGGTGGAGCTCCCTTTTTGGAGGTCAAGACAGAGGCAAGACCAAGTCAGAAAGGTGCTCTGGACCATTGTGCTGTAACTTAGGCAGGCTTTTATGCAGCTCGGCACGGGCGCTACGGGACGAGGAATGAACACATTTGCAAAGCCTTTGAGGTTGGGTCTTTTGGATTCAACACAGTCGAGCTGCTAGCTTAATCGGATTCAAATCTCCAAAGACAACTTTTAGCAATTGGGCGGTGATGCTTTGGCCTGCAGGGCTGGCTCAGCACACATGTTCCCTGCCCTTGGCAGAGATCTGGGGAGCTGTGCACGGTCTTGATGCGACCTCAGGGAGCCTCAGCGAGTTCAAGTCAGCGAGCTTTTGAAGATTTTGGAGTGCCAAACTTGGCATCAGACCCTCAGGCCCTACTTGCTCAACCAGAAGCGCTCTTCGGACCTGCTGCATTCTTAGATGAGCCGAGGTTGTATGGGCACGCTACTACCACCTACCCAAGGCCTTACGAGCGGTGCTGGCTCGAAGCCGAAGATGGGGAGCGATTTGCCTTCGACTGGGTCTTCCCTCCCACCGGTGGGGACTCCTATGAGGATGTTTGGAGTTTATTTGGAGATGCTTGGAGGCCTTTTTGATGTTCCAGAGCCGATTGGCACTGTTGGACCACTTTGGTGCTTCCCATTGGGCACCTTTTGCAGCCACAACTTTGAGGCTTTGATCCCCAGAGGCCGGTGTTGGTGCTCCTCACGGGCTTGGTACCTTGGCGATGTCACCTTGCGCTGTCTTGGTCGAGTTCCCCTGAGTAGCTTTATTGTTCCTAGTAGCTTTGTTGTTCCTAGTAGCGATGCCAGGAGCCCCTAGTAGCGTCCTTGCTCCTACAATCTCTCGATACCTTGATATATTGATAGGACCTTATTGCCTCTTTGATTGAAGTGCTTTGCCCATGACCAGAGGCTCCCAATCAGCACTGGACAGCAGCTGCTGGATTTATAGCAGATGCGGCACCTTGCATGCACTCATTATGTTGACACTTTCGAATTCTTAATAATGGAAATCTCAAGATATGTTTGCACCTTACCAGTAGCATCCCTTCGCGTCACATTTTTTGCTTCGGAAGGCATGGCACTTTACGCATCGTCTTACCCTTAGTGAGAGGAGGTATGGCGGTCAAGTCAGGATGAACTTGCTTACCTAGGTGCGAACATGACTGTTGTGGTTCTCGTTGCTCGAGGCCGGAGCAAAGAAGAGTGGAGTTTGTTCGTCAACACATTCCTCGAGTTTCTCGTTCAGGAACTATGGATACTCAAGTGAACAAGAACCTCTTCCATGGTGCACGTGTCACCGACCTCCGACAAATGTTGGAGTTCACGCAGCTTCGTTCAGCAGCGAAAGACTGCAAAATCGGTAGGGTTCCAAGACCACCAAACAGTACAACTTTTCAATGTTGGTCCAGTGATGAATCTCTCGATGAAAAACAAGTCAGTCCAGGAGATAAAGAATTGTACTGTAGTTGTCAAACAAATTATATAGTGTAGCTTAATTTTCCCTAAAAATCTAGAAACCAAATCATTAGCGTGAGCTATCCTGGTCCTAAGTAGTAGCTACTTGCAGGTAGTAGCTATCTCTCCCTACTAGCTACCTACCTCTAGAGGCCTACCCCCACCCAACAAAAGAAAGAAAAACATAACAAGACACGAAAAAAGGAACAGGGACAGACAGACTGATGACAGCTGATGACACGTTGCATTTGACGACGGACATCCAAGGCACTCGTCGCTGGAGAAATTCTCAGGCTGCCAATCTGTCCCATCGGTTCACATCGCTAGGAGTATGGGTTTGGAGACTAAAGTGGTTCTTTGCAGAGGTGTCATTCGGTTTTGGGAAGGCCAGTTGTTTTCACATTCTGCCATGGAATTTTGGTACAATCAGGTTGTGGTAGGCATTGACTTGGTTTATTTGACTGCGCTGCCTACTTTGTGGAGAGATTGCTTTCGACCAAACGGGCTTGAACAATTGAACAAGGACCACCAAAACACAGAATTCCACAAAAGGCACCCTACTGGCAATTGTTTGTGCCTCTGCGTAGTGATAACGTGCCTCACATTCTCATGTGTAGGAAGTCTTGGGTTTGCACTCTCCCAGGCACCCAAGCTTGGATTTTTCTATCGCAGGCATCAAGCCGAAGATCTTTGCTGCAGGCTATTCGATGGGTGCCCTTGCTTGATTTTTTGAGCACTGAAGAACTGCTTTTCCTGCATAAGCTGGTTTCCTGGTCAAGTTGTCCAATTGTCATCTTCTGCAACCTGGAAAAGTTTAATCCAGAATTGAGTGAGACAGCCCATTGTGGTAGCATTGCGCATGGCTTCTGAAGATCCTTGGTGCCTTTCAAGGTGCTATCATTTTGGCAAACTACTGTGGTCACTATGACAAAGACCCGCTGATTGCTGGTGGCATCCATTTCTCAGGTTTGCATGATGCCGTGGCCAAGCTCAAATGAGATCATGCAAACTGCTAGGGCTGAAGTGTTTGTACGTGCTTTGAAGGTCAGCCCTCCTGCTGTTGTCTTGATGCAACTAAGCTTTACAGGGTTACATTTCGGCCTTGTTTTCAATGATCTTTGCTCTCAAAGCACCAGACTGCCAGACTGCAATGGACTGGACTTCCTCTTAGAACCAACAACACCTTGGGTGAGTATGTTGCCAGGCTTTCAACATGAACTTCAAGTACTCAGAGGAAACATGGCAGGCAGGGACAGAAGATGCTACACGAAGTCAGAACCGTTGTGACAGAGCTGTGTCCACACAGGATATCGCGCCTGTCGGCTCTTGGTTTGAATCCAGGAATGAAGCAAATGTGAAGCAATGTTGCAAGGCCTACTTGGCTTACAATCTCAAGTGGACGATTGCTGTTTCTGCCCAGGAGGAGGTGGGGTTTATTGTGCAGGCCTGCGCAATGGTATTGAAAAGAGGAGATATGAATTGAGTTCCTTTGACATTTTATTGCATGATGTACAGCATCATTACTAGTTTGCAGCTTTCAGGCTCAATTCTTATGACCAAAGGGCAGAAGAACCGGAGAATTGAAAGAATAGAATAGAGAGCGATAGTTTGATCCAAGATAAGATCAAACCTCATGGGGGGCCACCAGTTCCTAGGTTTGCTTCGCCAGTCTCAAGGGTTTGAGGTGCGCGGGCCCACAGAGCCTTTTCCGATGCAGTGCTCATGATCCTTCCTGTGCTTCTATTGCGAGGGCTAACGCAAGGTGGCGCATTTCCTTCGCATGCTTTTGACGTCAGGGCCCAACACCGGAGCACAATTGAATCGAATCATTGAATCATGCAGACATGGCTTCACTTAGACAGGGCACTTGATTCGCTTGAGTCACTTGATTATGTTGCGTGCATGCTTGCCTAAGGCGACGCATGAAGTGGGCCACAGGAGAGGGTAGATTGGATTCAGCTGTGACAAAGGAGTTGTGCAAGACGTGGCTATTGTTTTCTTGTGAGGCCTTTGCCCATGCTGCACGGGCGTGGCAGAATAACAAGCAAAACTCAAAGGCCTGGGGACTCAAAGCTTGGGTCGATGATTTCAAAGTGTTCAGAAAGTCTGCCAGGCGGCAAAGCCCTCAGCAAAAGTTGGGTGGACTGTCTCTTCCAACCAAGTTCCGTGACTGCATTACTTCATTGAAATCTTTGGTGAGAGCTCGGTGCCTTTCCGAATACAATGCTTGGCTTAGCTGAGTCAGTCCAAAGCAAGTTTTAATAGTGATCTGGTGACTGGTGGTTTTGTTTAGCTAGAAAAAAAGTCGCTTGTTGGGGTGTGCGAGGCAGATCAACTTCATTACGCTGCCTGACAGGGCCATCACGATGGGAAGTCTGGCCTTCATTGCAGGGGCAGTGGATGCTGTTTGCTACACGAAATATCGGTGTCACTTCCCTCAGCATTCAGACACTTTCACAATAGAATAGATTAAAACTTGCTGCCCGATATCAACACCCGGAGCACAACTGTGAGGCTACACCAACATGATGACAGGCAATAGTGCAGCTTGGCATGGTCTTCTGCTCTGTCCACCGGAACAATGCACTTCGAAGTACGCATGCTGTGCCACTATGCCACTACGCATCTTCAAGATGGTGTGATGGGCTCTTTTGTACGAAAGCACATAGTGCAGCGTATATGATCAATAACTGTGACGTTGTGGCTGCACCTCAAGCCTCAAGGGGTGCATGTGGAGCTGGGGCGCTGTCTTGGACGGAGCTGCCGTCCTCGTCCATCTCAGGATCCCTTTCCTGTCCGATCCATTGTCATCCATCAGCCATCCTTCCCTTCCTTGCTGGCTTAACCACTGGCATCGTGTTGGGCGTGTTGCTTGGATTTTGGATCTTTTGGACTTGCATTGCTCCTCTTTTCTCCTACCAGGTCCCTCACGAATCCTCCGTTCCCCGTCCGGGACCTCGAGCTCCTTCCAGGTGTTTGCACGCCTACGTGCATGAGTGATCAGCTTCAACTACAGCGTGATCTCCGCTCTTTGACGCAGGCGATACAAGAGCTCACTTTGGTCACCCGTGACCTTGTTGGGAGGAGGACTCAGAGTGTGGAGGAGGATCAGGGTTTGCAGAGGTCGTCACCTTCCGCTCCTACCTTTAGCAGCACATCTTGGGAGTTGGTTACTGACGGGGCACATATCCCCGGAGCCCCAGCTGATTTTCTGAAGAAGCCGGTGGTGATTGAGTTCGAGGAGGGTCCCCCAGAGACTCCAGAGTTCTGTTTGGATCTGGCCCGACGCCACCTTTCCTCATCAAAGGCATCTTCTGTTGATCGAGCTCGCGAAGCATTCAAGGCTGGTTTTTGGGCAAGGGCTTTTTGGACCTGCCATACTGAGCACTCAAGCACATATAAGCCTTTGGTTGCTGGATCTACTCAGTGGGTGCTTCGCAAAGGAACTGGTTTTGATTTGGTCAGGGTTGCAACTCAAGCAGATTGCGAGAGGCTGATCTGACATTGTTCTGTTGGACAAGCTACCCTCGCTTACAGAACTGCGTATCTATTGTGCAGGAGCTTCAGTGCCTGTGCCTCCACTATGGCGCTGGAGAAGCGATCAATAGTTTTTGCAGCCACCAGCACAGACCACTCTCTTCTTGTGCTCCATCTTGCGGAGGAGTTGACTGAGAGTGGCACCGAGCTTCAGATGTTTGCAGTTCCACTAGTTGCACGAAAGAAGGGAATGCTTCTCGCTATCCCTATGGGCCTTTTGAAGTCAAGCCTTATGTTCCCAGAGGGACCTATTGATGAGGAAGCCCTAGTTGGGCCATCTTGTGTGTTTGAGGTCGATATGATCCTTGAGGATGAGTTCACAGGAGCGTCATTATGAAATCATTGGCTGCCGGTTTCAAGGGTGAGGTGGCCGTTGTCGATTTCTCAAATGACATTCTTTCCGAATTCTTTCCTGTCTCAGGGACTACGATCCTGTGACCGATGCCACGGAGGAGGTATTGGGCATCCATGAGACAAATCCACAAGCAATTCGGGCAGCAGCAGAACTATTGGCTCTAGGGCTGAAAGCGAAACTGCAGCAAGGACACATTTTTACAGTGCTCGAGACGAGCCAGTTCACAAGGTGGCCGCAGTTCCCAAGAAGGCCGCTGCAAAACGTCTCACAACCGCTGTCTTGGCGGAACAGATATCCAGCCTCTCAGCCCAAGTTGCCCTTTTGGCAGCTGCTCTGCGGGGAAAGAAGAAAGGCGCGAGCCATTGTCAGTGGCTGGGACTCCCTCTGCCGCTCACGCCGCAGGGCTACAAGCCATCGCACCTTCAGGGATAGTTCCAAAGATGCCAGCAGTCTCGCTCGGCCTCCAGACTCCGGGTGAGACCAAGGCAGCGTCCAAGGCTCTTCAGTTGGTGGGGCCTTTTTCGAGGAATCGCGCATCTTCGATGACTTCTGGACTTGGTCTCGGCCTATTAGACGAGCCTTACGACCCAGTGAAAGCCCCTCCAGAGACTCAGGAGCAGATTCTCTCTCAGCAAGCGGTGGCACTCAATGCTCTCGTCTCCCATCTTGTCCAAGGAGGAGAAGGTCTCAGCTTCGATTATCACTCTGGAGGAGCAGGTTCGAGTTCCACAAGAGGCGCCATCAAAAGAGAGAAGCTTCAGCAAGATCTGGCCTCCAGACAATCCGGCTTCTTCCTTGCCCTACAGCAACAGATCTTCCGCAGGCTGAATCCGTCGGCCGTCCTCCCAAGAACACAGAAGGAGATCCAGAGGAGGTCGCCGTCTCTTCTGACTTATCTGGAGAGGTATGGAGGATTCCGCGGACAAAAGGAGGCTGGCCTCACGATGTGGGTGTTTGCACACGCTTTGGATGCAGCTGCAAGTGGCGACTTCTTTGCTACCAAAGAGTATTTGGCACTTGGAGTCATGGCCCTAGAACAAAGTGTTTTCGATGCGGGCGATTGGGGGCTGGCCTATGTTCTATCCCTCATCGAGGATCCCCCGCAGACCTTGTTTCAAGAGAAGATGCAGTCGATCACCTCAGCGGGCCGTCCTTTCTCACCATTGATCCCGCCGCAGCTTGCGTACTCCAGACTCGGAGGCAAGAGACAAAGACCAAGAAGGGACAGCCAGCAAGCGGCAAGGAGGAGGATTCGCGAAGCCCCAAGAGACGTCCAAAGTTCCCCAAGAAGCCCAAAGCCGGCGGAGAGGGGCAGCAGTGACTTCTTCAGCACCTATGAGGGAATTCAATTCCGGGCCTATGAAATCCTGGACTGCAAGTGATGCACATCGCTCCCCTTTGGTACCTGGGGTGGTCCCTGTGATCCTTCGCTGGGTCTCAGAGCCGGCCCAAGGTCGGGTTGAGCGGTCCGAAGCACAACAACATCCAGAGAGTCAGCTATCCGTTATAAGTTATGGTGTTCCAAGTTGACAACTTTGGTTTTGAGGACACGCGCAGCTTTTTCATCATATCTTTCTTCCTCCATTCGTATTTCGCGTGGCTCTTCACCGAGGGCCCCTTCTTCACCGACTTTGTTCCCTGTCCCACTGCCGGTTGAGGGTTGCTATGACAGGATGCCTACAAATGTTTCGAGCTCAAAGAGGAGGGCAGTTGGTTTTGCCAGGGCAGTTCATGCCGGCGGTTGCTTCAGTGGGCTGGATGTTTTGTGGAGAGACCCATCCCCTGTGCATCGTGCTTTGTGCAAGAGGATCAGGTCTTTTGTGAAGTCGGACGGCCTCACAGCAGTTTTTGATGCATTACGTGTTGGCCGACGGAATCCAGAGCTTTTTGCACGCCTGAGTGAGCTGACGGCTGTGTTGACTTCCTTGGGATGTTCAGCCTCACCTTACTCGAAAGTTTTCACAGGCTATGATGTCACCAAAGACCGTTCATTGTATCCAGAGCTGGAGCCTTACAGGGACCTTGATCCTTCACGACTTCTGCTATATGGCAAGGGGCAGTGGGACATCACAGATTTCCTGAGTGATGAACTGGTTATGGCCTATCGAGAACCAGAGAGCATCAAAGTTGATCGCACACCTGCTAGCTGGGAATATCCACGTATTCGAAAATCTGAAGAAACAGTCGCTCAGTTGGCTCTTCTTTGGGACAGGCATGGTTTGCTGCGTTTGCGCCGGGAAAGGGCCACATCGAGGCCCTCCTATGAACTTGTCAGAGTCTTCAACTGCTACAAAGCCAGTGATCGCGACCGACAAATTGGAGACCGCCGTGGTCGCAACGCAGTTGAAGGAGTGCTTCGTGGACCATCGTCAAATTTGCCAGCTGGTCAAGATCTGTGTGATCTTTACATTGACTTGAGTAGACAGAAGCTGCACGTCTCTATCTCTGACAGGCGGGATTTTTATCATCAGCTATGGGTGACGAAGTCAAGGGCCATCACCAATACTTTGGGCCCCGGACTGCCACCGTCCCTG